TAAACAACAGGGAGAAAAAAAAACTGGACAGCTACATGTAAGAGAATGAAACTGGATCATCATCTAACCCCATACACAAAAGTAAATTTAAAATGGATCAAAGACCTGAATGTAAGCCACGAAACCATAAAACTCTTAGAAAAAACATAGGCAAAAATCTCTTGGACATAAACATGAGCAACTTCTTCATGAACATATCTCCCCAGGCAAGGGAAATAAAAGCAAAAATGTACAAGTGGGACATGTCAAGCTGAAAAGCTTCTGTACAGCAAAGAACACCATCAGTAGAACAAAAAGGCATCCTACAGTATGGAAGAATATATTCATAAATGACAGAACTGATAGAGAGTTGACATCCAAAATATATAAAGAGCTCACATACCTCAACAAACAAAAAGCAAATAATCCAATTAAAAAATGGGCAGAGGAGCTGAACAGACAGTTCTCCAAAGAAGAAATTCAAATGGCACCCAAAAAGATGCTCCACACTGCTAGTCATCAGAGAAATGCAATTAAAACCACAATGAGATATCACCTCACACCAGGAAGGATCGCCACCATCCAAAAGACAAACAACAACAAATATTGGCGAGGTTGTGGAGAAAGAGGAACCCTCCTACACTGCTGGTGGGAATGTAAATTAGTTCACCCATTGTGGAAAGCGGTATGGAGGTTCCTCAAAATAGACTTACCATTTGACCCAGGAATTCCACTTCTAGGAATTTATTCTAAGAATGCAGCAGCCCAGTTTGAAAAAGACAGATGCACCCCTATGTTTATCTTAGCACTATTTACAATAGCCAAGAAATGGACGCAACCTAAGTGTCCATCAATAGATGAATGGATAAAGAAGATGTGGTACATATAGATAATGAAATATTATTCAGCCATAAGAAGAAAACAAATCCTACCATTTGCAACAAAATGGATGGAGCTAGAGGGTATTATACTCAGTGAAATAAGCCAGGTGGAGAAAGACAAGTACCAAATGATTTCACTCATATGTGGAATATAAGAACAAAGGAAAAACTGAAGGAACAAACAGCAGCAGAATCACAGAACCCAAGAATGGACTAAGAGTTACCAAAGGGAAAGGGACTGGGGAGGATGCCTGGGAAGGGAGGGAGAAGGGTGAGGAAGAAGAAAGGGGGTCTTACGATTAGCATGTATAATGTGGGGGGGGACACGGGGAGGGCTGTGCAACACAGAGAAGACAAGTAGTGATTTTACAGCCTCTTACTATGCTGATGGACAGTGATTAATGGGGTATGTAGGGGGCACTTGGTGAAGTGGGGAGTCTAGTAAACATAATGTTCCTCATGTAATTGTAGATTAATGATACCAAAAAAAAAAAGACTTCCCCATCAGTGAAGTAAATGAACATTATTGCATGTGAGTGTTACATTGCTACCATTTTTTCCTTGTCTTCTGGTTTTTTGATGTGTTTTGAATTTATTCTTTCAGCAGATCTTTGTTGAGTACAGTATGTGCCAGGCACTGTACAGGCACTAAAGTGTCATCCCAGCCCTCATGGAGTTTATAGTGTACTAGCGAGGCAGTTCATAAAAATTACAAATTACAGTGAAGAATGATTAATAGGGGAGGCATGTGGTTCTACAGGCTTATGTAACAGAGGGTCTTAGGCAGTTTAGGGAGTCATGGTGGCTCCACAGAGGGCCGAACTTTCCAGCTGAGACCTGAAGGATGAGTAGGAATGAATGGGGCAGTAAAGACGTATGCATGGGAAAAGAGTTCCAGAGAGAAGTGAGAAAGTCTCGACTCAGCACAGGAAAAGGTGGAAGGAGAGGGAAAGAAACAGAGCATGGTGAGTACTGGAGGAACTGAGAGAATTACAGCATAACCAGAGCAGGGTGCCAGGGACAGATGAGAAGTAAAGCTGGGAAGGTTAACAGGTAAGCAGTTTGTAGCAGAATTCTGGATTCAGGAGTTATTATTGTATTTGCATCTTCTTGTATTTTCACTCTCCTTCTTATTTTCTGATTAGACTATATATTTCTTTTAAAAAGACCTCAGCTTTTCCTATGATATTGGTAGTGCCCCCTACTATTTATTGTCTGCAGAGTGCAGTAGTTGAATACTGCAATGCTTACAATGAGGTTAAAGTTATTACCTCATAACCTTGTGAGGTAAAATCAGAAAAGGCACAGGCTTGGGAATCACACAGTGTTCTCAGCCAGCCGTTTATTAGCTCTCTAATTTGGGATTGGGTTATTTAACCTTTTGAAGCCTCAATCTTTTTCATCAACAAAAAGGATATGGTGACATTTAATTCATAAGTGTACTAGAGGATCAAATGAGATATTTACCTGACATCTAGCAGAGTACACTCAAAAAGCTGACTCCTATCTCTCCTCTCACCTCCTCCCCTGGACTCAATCCATCCCTTTCATCTGCCCCCACACCTTGTTCTGTAACCATTCCTTCTCCTTTGCATTTTGTAAGCCTTTCCACTAGCTCCTTCCTTTCAGCTTATAAATGTCCTCAAACTCCAGACTAAAAATAGTCCCTCTCTCAATCCAGCTCCCCACGCCCTTAAACTAACTTTCCATTTCTCTTCATCCCTTTACCACCACACTCCTTAAAGACATTGTTAACATTTCCCAATCTAAGTTGTATCAAGGACCCTCAACTCTGGACCCTGGGGTGAGAGACGTGGGGGTAAGAAAGAAGCCCCAGACCCAGCCACTGTCTCCAAGGGGAACCAATGGTTTTGGAGTCAGTGGTATTCAGACTGCGTCTAGTTCTGAACTTTAATTTACTCTTCAACTTTTGACAACCAGCCAACTTTCCAATCCTTCCTCTTCTGATAGAACTTTCTTTGTAAAATTACCAAAATCCCAAGGTCCTCGTGAGTTCTTGTCCTGTGCTGAAGCAGCTACACCACTGATCACCCCCTCCTAAGCACGCCCTTCCTCAGCCAAACACTCACTGAAGCCTTTAACCCTTCCCCACTGCAGTGATGATTTCATTTTAATGTCTCCCCCTTGCCCACAGAAGCCTGAATTACCAAGCAGCCCCTTTAAAGCCTGTCATGAGTTGGTCATTTTGCTTTTTCACTTTCCTTTTCAACAGCCTATGCTCCACACATATGAACAGGTCCCCACTTCAGAGTCTGCCCCAGGGTCGCCTTCACCTGCCGCATGGCTTATGCTTATTCCTGTATTCTGGGAGGCACCTATTCCCTCTCTCTGCCTTCTAAATGCGTAATTGAACCCATCCTTCTGAGTCTACCTCTTTGGGTCTATCAGAAACACTCTAAACTCTTCACTTTCATAATTCTTTAAAACTTCTCTTAAAGCTAATGATATCATTTAACTTGTATTATAATTGTGTATGCCTAGGTTTACCTCCCTGATCAGGCTGTAAGATTTTTTTTTTTTGGTATCATTAATTTACAATTACATCAGGAACATCGTGTTTACTAGACTCCACCCTTCACCAAGTCCCCCCCACAAACCCCATTTCAGTCACTGTCCATCAGCCTAGTAACATGCTGTAGAATCACTACTTGTCTTCTCTGTGTTGCACAGCCCTCCCCATGTCCCCCCCCCACATTATACATGCTAATAGTAATGCCCCCTTTCTTCTTCAACTCCCTTATCCCTCCCTTCCCACCCATCCTCCCCAGTCCCTTTCCCTTTGGTAACTGTTAGTCCCTTCTTGGGTTCTGTGATTCTGTTGCTGTTTTGTTCCTTTAGTTTTCCTTTGTTCTTATACTCCACACATATGAGTGAAATCATTTGGTACTTGTCTTTCTCCGCCTGGCTTATTTCACTGAGTATAATGCCCTCTAGCTCCATCCATGTTGTTGCAAATGGTAGGATTTGTTTTCTTCTTATGGCTGAATAACATTCCATTGTGTATATGTACCACATCTTCTTTATCCATTCATCTACTGATGGACACTTAGGTTGCATCCATTTCTTGGCTATTGTAAATAGTGCTGCAATAAACATAGGGGTGCATCTGTCTTTTTCAAACTGTGCTGCTGTATTCTTAGAGTAAATTCCTAGAAGTGGAATTCCTGGGTCAAATGGTATTTCTATTTTGAGCTTTTTGAGGAACCTCCATATTGCTTTCCACAATGGTGGAACTAATTTACATTCCCACCAGCAGTGTAGGAGGGTTCCCCTTTCTCCACAACCTCACCAACATTTGTTGTTTGTCTTTTGGATGGTGGCAATCCTTACTGGTGTGAGGTGATATCTCATTGTGGTTTTAATTGCATTTCTCTGATTAAGAGCAACGTGGAGCATCTTTTCGGGTGTCTGTTGGCCATCTGAATTTCTTCTTTGGAGAACTGTCTGTTCAGTGCTTCTGCCAGCCTGTAAGATTTTTGATGGTAACTGTTTTTGCCTCCTTCTGGAACTGTGACTTACCTTCATTTTTGTGCAGCTACGAAGTACCGCAAACAGACTTGTTTGCTGTTGTGCTTCAATGCCGTGCTGACACCTGCTGGTCATATATGGCTCAGCAGCCCTGGCCCCAGCACTGTCCTCTCTCCAGTATCACGGGTGGGGGACAGCCTGTTCCACTTTTCCCCAGCCAGACACTGGAAGCATATGCTGTGGGAACGTTACGCCATGGCACCACTCTTCCCTGGAGACTCCAGGAGCACACTAAGACTTGCTGGTCTCTGGCTCGTCTTTGACGTCTGCTGCCTAAATTCACTTCAATCTTTATGACTTTCCCAACTGACCCCCAACCCAGCAATTTATACTTTACATCCTTCCCAGTACCACAGAAATACAAGGAGGACAAGATCTGTAGGAACTGAGCAGCAAGGGAAGAAAGAAGCAGACAAACAATTTGAGAGCAGGGCATGTATAATCCCTCCTCCTCACCCCACAGAATCAAGATTATTTCCTACAGAGTGTTATTCCTTTTGACCTCTGTTGTATTTGTAGGAGGCTCTTCTAGCCATAGACCTTCTTGGTGACAGTGTGATGAACAGGAGGTTGAGCACAGAGTGGGTAGGCGGAGCGTGGGGGTGGGGCCAGGCCAAAGAGACTCTCCCCGAGGAGCTGCTTCACTCTGTCAGCTCTCCCCGGACATCCAAGGCAAGACTGGCACCCAGCGCATAGCAGGTGAGGGGCCAGCAAGGACAGAAGGGTAGGCTTCAGGGGTGACAGTGGCAGAAAAGTCCCAGCTCTGTCAGCCTGAGCTTTCCATATTGTGAGACTCTTACTTGATAGAATTCTTGGGTCCCCAGTGGAGAAATCTAGCTCAGTTTTCCCGGGGGGCAAGGCATCCTCAGAAAGAAAGACATGGTTTAGGATGGTGTGGAGGCAGGGCTGAGGCATGGGGGCGGATATGGATGTGTGACAAGAGTACTGAGAGATGCAAGGAAATCCTAGGAGACATGGAGATAAACATAAGAGCCAGAGGGAGAGCACCATCAGAGGATCACAGGGCAGAACCTGGACCAGAAAAAATCGGAGACAGAAACAGAGAGAGACGGAGAAGACAGCAGACCAAACATGAGATGGCCATGGGGGCAATGGAGAGCTGGGTAACAGGAAGGCCAAAGAGGAAGGAAGGCTCACATGGAGCAATCTCCTCTTCCGGCTGTGGAACACAGTCCAGAAAGCCCCACACAAAGCTGGGAGCAAAGCAAGGTTCCAGGTCCCTACTGGACTGATTCAGCTGGGAAAGAAACTTCCCCAGTTATCCATATTCCCTGCCTCTTCAGACTCCCATTTGGGTTTGGGGCAGAAGGTGAGGCTGCTCCTCACTGCGGTTACAGCCACATCCTGCAGAGCAGGGGAGGGGGAAGTAAGAAGCAAAACAGCCAGAAGAACCACAGGCAAAGACTGTGGGGAGAGAACGCTGGACGTGTGTGGCTGATGTGCCAGCCACCAGAAGGGCTGCCGGTTCACCTCCAGCATAACACCTCAGACCTCTAAAACTGTCCGCCCCCCTTGAGGTGCTTGCTTTCACGCTTCCTCAGTGAGCATCAACCTTACTGAGAGCATTCCAGAGAAGGAGGTTTCTTTGGATTATTTGGCTCAAAGTCCATTTTTATCATTTGCTAGTGACTTTGGCCAAGTTGTTTAATTTCTCTTAGTTTTAGTTTTCTTATTGCAAAATGGGGGTACCTACCTTACAAAGGGCTGGAAAGACAGATAATTCATATAAGGCACTTGGTCCATAGTAAGGTCTCAATAAACGTTAGTTTATTATTTTATCAGGACTTCTGGGACTCCTATATTTCTCACTTCTTTAGAGGCACACTAGCTGATGTGGGCTTTTGCAGTCAGAAAGAGTTGTGTTTGACCTTGGGTAAATTATGTACGTAAGCCTTCATTTGCTCAAGCTGTAAAACAAGGATAGTAACACCTACAACTCATAAATGTCTGGCACACAGTCAGTGTCCACGGCAGCCCTGAGAACTGTCTGCAGCAAGCTTACCTCCACAGCAGCAGCGAAGTTTATGTCCCCCATTAAGACTTCACCTGCAGCGGGGCTTGCCTCCCGCTTGCTCTCAGCCCTCTGGCTAAAGCTATCACCGCCCCAGGGCTGTTTTAGGGATCACCATTTTCTAAGGGATCACCTAGGAGAATGGGAACAAGGCGCAAAGGACTGACGGGGGGTGGGGGTGGGGGTGGGGTGGGGGTGGGGGGGCGGCAAGATGACGAAGAGACAGGTGAAGGGAAAGCCAGTTCTCTCTTTCTAAGGAAACCGTGGCCTTATGATCTGGTGACTGATCACACACTCACCCCCTTCCCCAGGAACTATGGAGTCCTTCAGCTCAAGGAGCCTGGCCCTGCAAGCAGAGAAGAAGCTGCTGAGTAAGATGGCAGGCCGGTCTGTGGCTCACCTCTTCATCGATGAGACAAGCAGTGAGGTGCTGGATGAGCTCTATCGTGTGTCCAAGGAGTACACGTGCAGCCGTGCGCAGGCCCAGAGAGTCATCAAGGACCTGATCAAGGTGGCTGTCAAGGTGGCGGTGCTGCACCGCAGCGGCAGCTTTGGCCCCGGTGAACTGGGCCTGGCGGCCCGCTTCCGCCAAAAGCTGCGGCAGGGCGCCATGACGGCACTCAGCTTTGGCGAGGTGGCCTTCACCTTCGAGGCTGCTGTGCTGGCCGGCCTGCTGACCGAGTGCAGAGACGTGCTTCTGGAGCTGGTGCAGCACCACCTCACACCCAAGTCCCACGGCCGCATCCGCCGGGTGTTCGATCACTTCTCTGACCCAGGCCTGCTCACGGCCCTCTATGGGCCTGGCTTCACTCAGCACCTTGGCAAGATCTGTGATGGGCTCAGGAAGCTGCTGGACGAGGGGAAGCTCTGAGGGCCCTGAGCTCAGCACATCCCACCTCGGCAAAACGGCTGACTGAGAGAACAACACATAACAGGCTTTCTGACCCTGCTCATCTGCACTAAAGCTTTTCAATCCTCAGGCACAGCCTTCCCCAAGAGTGTTTTTGACTCTGAGACCACCCCACCCCCAAACTGCGGGTAGAGGAGAAGCAATGCTGAGGGTTGGGGCCTCTTTCCCACTCCAGCCCCAGGACAGGAAACAAAGCTGCCTGAAAAAGACGAAGTGAAACCTGGATCTCTATTTCCCAGTAAGGGACGTTTGAAGCAGGGAAGCCTCCTCCCCTACGAGTCAGGGAAGAGGGCATGGGCCCATCTAACCCCTCTGCAGAAACAAGGACAGAAGGTGGGAAGGGGGCCTTTAGAGACATCCTAAGAACTCCAGCTCCAGCCAGAGTCTGAACAAATAGCACAGGCTCAGTTCCAGAGTGCAGGAAGAAGGGGTAGGGCAAGGGAGATTCTCAGAGGGGGAATAAAACTACCAAAACATGCATAGGACTCAGTGTTTAATCTCTCCAGCTTCTTATATCTTATAATCATCACAGAAGAAAGAGGTATTAACACCACTTATCTCACCTTTCCCAATTCCATGCAGGAGACTGGGGCATATTTTCAGTATCACTGGGGTTCCCTTGCTACTTCTTCTGTTTAAGAAACTGAAAAAAAAAACCTGTCCTGAAAAGCAGTGCTACACATTGCAAATGTACTTGCAGTGAGGAGCAAGGCATAGATCAATAGGGTCCGTGGGGAGGGGGTATAGCAGACTCCCACAGCTGCCCTCCTCTTCAAACACCAAGGCAGATTTTCCTCCATGCCTTAGCCTCACACAGGCTGAACAGAGGAGCAGTTCAGAAGGGTGAACTGGTGGCATGGAGAGTTCTGGTCCCTACATCACTGTTTTTTCTCAGAATAAGAGTTGTGAAAAGTTATAGTGAACTGGTAAGTCAAGACTGAGCCCAAATTCTTTACTTTGAGGTTTGCGGAAAGGCCGGCACAGACTGCCATTCTCTGCAGAGGGACAGGTCTGACTGCCCATCCTCAATAACATGCTTGGCTAAGAAGGTGGGGAAGGGGGGAAGCCAGCAGACACTGGCTCACTGCTCCTGGGGCCCCGTCACCCCAGGGCTATGAAATTCCATTTTTCAGCTAAGAGTGGGAAATAATAAGGTAGGGCAAATAAATATTACTTCAATATAGCACCAAATAAATTAGGTAACAGTTGGGAGATGGGGAGGAAGTTGGAGACTAGTTGGGGGGGTCCCTGTCTCCCTGCTCTAAGACAAAAGGAAAGGTGAAAGGGATGGGAAAGGCAGCAGGCATATAAAAAGAGCCTTGTGAATCCAAAGGACAACTCTAGATTCAGCCCAAGAACTGAGAAGGGGTCTATTCCCTATTCCCTATGCTTGCCAATAAAACTGCTCCAGGCCAAGGAACTCTTGGTGGACAGGGAGGCTGGGAAGTGGCAACAGTGAGGGAGGTGGGCCAGGAAGCCATGTTCTGGAGCCTCACCTCAGGCACTTCACCCCCTCAAGTTGCTTCTTCAACACCTTGCTTGTCTCAGTCAGTTCTGGGGACATCAGAGTTTGAAGATTTCATCCTCCTGGTCCCGAAGTGTCTGGGTCCGAGAGGTCCGGGTGAGTGGCACGGGGCCTAGGAGTGCTCGTTGCTGCATCCGAGGGGAGATCAGGTGAAGACCTGAATCCTCCCCAGGTACTCTGCAGGTGAGGAAAGGGGGGAAAGGGTGACAGATGGAGAGAAGAGCCTGAGAATGGGCCAGTGAGGAGGAACATGGAAAGCTATCCTCCTTTCCTGATACACATGAGCTGGTTGCTCCAAGATGGAATCTAATACCTTCTGGATAAATCCTAACCCTAATTCTCTTTCATAGATCATCAGAGCAGTAGGAATAGTCAACTATTTTACTCCAACACAAACCCAGAACTATTTCCCACTGCCTCTCCCCACTCCAGCAGCCATGGCTCTGCTCATTGTCTTGGGGCTGCCTGGGGGAAGGGCCTCACCTTGCTTCCACTGGCACTATGCTCACTTACCTGTGTGTCTGGCCAGGTAGGAAGGCTAGAAGAATGAACTCTATGGCGGAGCTTAAAAGAAACCAAGACTCACCTACTTTCTTCTTTTTTCAGCCTCTGGGCAGCAGCCTTTTTTGACAGGCTGATTTGTGAATCAAGCTTCTTAAGAAAATCAGAGGCAGAGAGGTCATGGATGGGAGAAGGGGGTTCCTGGCCAGGTGTGGGAAGGACTTCGCCATTGCCATGTCCTGACCTCGTCTCTTGTTTCTTTTTCTCTGCTGAGGGTGGCCAAACTTCATCCTTACTTGATTGGATATCTTCTTCTCCATCTTTCTCTTCCTCAGAATCCAAACCATTGAACAGGTCTCTGGGCTCTGTCAGGATGGGGATGTAGAGGGTTTTCTTCAGGAAGATGGAGTCATTAGTATAAAGGCGGTTTGCACGCTTAATCTGTTCCATCTTTAAAAAAAAGTCACAATTAATGACAGCAATAATGATCAATCTCCTATTTGTATAGCTTCTCATGCCTTTTAAAGTAATTGTACAGAGTCTTATTTGATCCTAAACAACAAAGCTAAAGTACAAAGGGCTGATATTATACTTATTTTTATGATTAGTGGTTTTCATACCTTTTAGTCTTAGGGTCCATTTACATTTTAAAAATTATTGAGGAAAAAAATCTTTTTATTTATGTGGATTACAACTATCAGTATTTATAAGGTATTATAAATTGAAACTTAATTTTAAAACATGTATTTATTTAAAAATAACATACCCATTACATGTTAATATAAATATTTTAAGGAAAAATAACTATTTTCCAAAACAACAAAAATATAGCAAGAAGAGAGCTGCTGTTTTACATTTTTGCAAATCACTTTAACTGTGTGATGTAATAGAAGACAACAGGACTCTCAGAGTAACTATCTCTACATTCAGTCTATTGTAATAGCACATGTCACATAGCCTCTGGAAAATACAGTACACTCATGAGAATGAAAAAGACAAAGTCTTACTATTACTATAAATATAGTTTTGACCTTGTGGATCCCTAAAGAGTCTCACAGACCCTGAGGGGTCCCTGGACCTCACTTTGATAACTTCTGTTCAAGATGATGGAACCGAGGCTCAGAGAGGTTAAGCTTTGCGCCTAAGATTATCTAGCAAGTTAACAGCTAGAACTACAGTTAACTCTTGAATAACATGGGTTTGAACTGTGAGGGTCCATTTATATGTGAATTTTTTCAATAAATAACTTGCAAATGAACCATATAGCCCAAAAATATTTTAAAATTTAAGAAAAAGTTAGGTATGTCACGAATGTATAAAATGTGTATAGATACTAATCTATGTAATCATTTACTACCATAAAATCAACAGTAGGCCATTAGTAATTACGTTTTTGGGGAATCAAGAGTTATACATGGATTTTCAACTGTGTGAAGTGTTGGCGCCCCTGACATTGTTCAAGGGTCAACTGTAAAATTTTGGGCCTTTTGACTCTTTTCTGGGAATGCTTTTTACACAATAATATCAATATTTTCACTGATCAAAAAGCAGTTTAGTAGCTATGTAGTCATCCCTGAACATAGTGACTGGCATCAACATCTCCCTAACTCTCAAGGTAGATATCTCAAAGTCATCCTTACCTCATTGTTTTCTTTCACCACCCAAACCCAACTAGTCAACAAGAGTGCTGCAAAAGCCCCTCACATCTGGTCTCATCTTCACATTTACTACCACCACTTTAGAACAGACTCAGCATTTCTCATCTGGTATTGTAACAGGGTTTTTTTTTAATCACTCTTCTTCTCTCCATTTCTATTGATTCTCCACCCTGACAACATCTATTTCTCTGAAAAAATTAATCTGATCAACCCACTAGTCTGCTATTAAACCTCCTATGGCTCCCCATTGGCTCAGAGATAAAATCAGCATTCAAAACCAGGCAGAGACACCACAAAAAAAGAAAATTACAGACCAATATCCCTGATGAACAAAGATGCAAAAATACTCAACAAAATATTAGCAAACCGAATTCAAAAATACATCAAAAAGATCATCCATCATGATCAAGTGGGATTCATCCCAGGGATGCAAAGATGGTACAACATTTGAAATTCCATCAACACCGTCCACCACATCAACAAAAAAGGACAAAAACCACATGATCATCTCCATAGATGCTGAAAAAGCATTTGACAAAATTCAACATCCATTCATGATAAAAACTCTGAAGAAAATGGGTATAGAGGGCAAGTACCTCAACATAATAAAGGCCACATATGACAAACCCACAGCCAACATTATACTTAACAGCAAGAAGCTGGAAGCTTTTCCTTTAAGATTGGGAACAAGACAAGGATGCCCAATCTCCCCACTTTTATTCAACACAGTTCTGGAGGTCCTAGCCACAGCAATCAGACAATACAAAGAAATAAAAGGCATCCAGATTGGCAAAGAAGAAGTCAAACTGACCCTGTTTGCAGATGACATGATATAGTATAGAAAAATCCCTAAAGAATCCACTCCAAAACTACTAGATCTAATATCTGAATTCAGCAAAGTTGCGGGATACAAAATTAGTACGCAGAAATCTGTTGCATTCCTATACACTAATGATGAACTAGCAGAGAGAGAAATCAGGAAAACAATTCCATTCACAATCACATCAAAAAGAATAAAATACCTCGGAATACACCTAAGCAAGGAAGTGAAAGACCTATACTCTAAAAACTACAAGACACTCATGAGAGAAATTAAAGATACCAATAAATGGAAACACACCCCATGATCATGCATAGGAAGAATCAATATTGTCAAAGTGGCCATCCTGCCTAAAGCACTCTACAGAGTCAATGCAATCCCAATCAAAATACCAACAGCACTCTTCAATGAACTAGAGCAAATAGTTCTAAAATTCATATGGAACCACAAAAGACTGCCAATAGCCAAAGCAATCCTGAGAAGGAAGAATAAAGCAGGGGAAACTATGTTCCCTGACTTAAAGCTCTACTACAAAGCCACAGTAATCAAGACAATTTGGTACTGGCACAAGAACAGACCCATAGACCAATAGGACAGACTAGAGAGCCCAGAAAAACCCAAGCATATATGGTCAATTAATATACAATAAAGGAGCCATGGTTATACAATGGGGAAATGACAGCTTCTTCAACAACTGGTGTTGGCAAAACTGGACAGTTACATGTAAGAGAATGAAACTGGATCATTGTCTGACCCCACACACAAAAGTAAACTCAAAATGGATCAAAGACCTGAATATAAGTCATGAAACCATAAAACTCTTAGGAAAAAACATAGGCAAAAATCTCTTGGACATAAACATGAGTGACTTCTTCATGAACATATCTCCCTGGGCAAGGGAAACAAAAGCAAAAATGAACAAGTGGGACTATATCAAATGAAAAAGCTTCTGCACAGCAAAGGACACCATCAGTAGAACAAAAAGACATCCTACAGTATGGGGGAATATATTCATAAATGACATATTCGATAAGGGGTTGACATCCAAATTATATAAAGAGTTCTCGCACTTAAACAAACAAAAAGCAAATAAGCCAATTAAAAAATGGGCAGAGGAGCTGAACAGACACTTCTCCAAAGAAGAAATTCAGATGGACAACAGGCACATGAAAAGATGCTCCACATCACTAGTCATCAGAGAAATGCAAATTAAAACCACAATGAGATATCACCTCACACCAGTTAGGATGGCCAACATCCAAAAGGCAAACAGCAACAAATGTTGGTGAGGATGTGGAGAAAGGGAAACCCTCCTACACTGCTGATGGGAATGTAAAATAGTTCAACCATTCTGGAAAGCAGTACTGAGGTTCTTCAAAAAACTCAAAACAGAAATACCATTTAACCCAGGAATTCCATTCCTAGGAATTTACCCTAAGAATGCAGGAGCCCAGTTTGAAAAAGACATATGCACCTCTATGTTTATCGCAGCACTATTTACAATAGCCAAGAAATGGAAACAACCTAAGTGTCCATCAGTAGATGAATGGATAAAGATGTGGTACATACAGACAATGGAATATTATTCAGCCATAAGAAGAAAACAAATCATATCATTTGCAACAACATGGATAGAGCTAGAGGGTATTATGCTCAGTGAAATAAGCCAGGTGGAGATAGACAAGTATCAAATGATTTCATTCATCTGTGGAGTATAAGAACAAAGAAAAAAACTGAAGGAACAAAACAACAGCAGACTCACAGAACCCAAGAATGGACTAACAGTTACCAAAGGGAAAGGGATTGGGGAGGATGGGTGGGAAGGGAGGGATAAGGGGGAAAGGGGGGGCATTATGATTAGCACATTTAATGTAGCCTCGGGGGTGGGGGACACGGGGAAGGTAGTATAACACAGAGAAGACAAGTAGTGATTCTATAGCATCTTACTACACTGATGGACAGTGATTGTAATGGGGTATGTGGTGGGGACTTGATAATAGGGGGTCTAGTAACCATAATGTTGTTTGTGTAATTGTACATTAATGATAGCAAAAAAAAAATCGGCATTCAAGGGTCTTCTCAACTTAGTTTCTCTAGAATATCTAGCCTCACCTCCCTTCTGTCACCTACACATTTTGCCATTCTGAACCTTTCATTTTCTTTGAACATTTCATGATCTTTCCACTTTTGTGTCTTTATCTGCCTAGAATGTTTCTCCACTATCCCCTTCTCTGCCTGGAAGACTTCTACTCATCAACTATCACTCCCTTTGTGTTCCCTTCTTCAGGGTTCCCAGTGCACACTGTAAATATTGTCACAGTAATAGCTGCCATATCGTACTGTTGTTCACCTCTTTGCACATTTTTGTCTTGCCTAAACTCTGAGTCCTTTAAGGGCAGGGATGCTGTTTCTGTCTCCCTAAGGTGCTCCTCAGCATTGCACAAACTTGGCACACAGCAGGAGCTCACTAATGCTTTATGAACACATCAACTAGATAATAACATGTAGAAACCACAGATACAACATATCAGTATTTTATTATCAGAGGCCAGGCAGCCAGTTTTACTAAAAATTCATCCTAAACTGGTACCATTTTGGGAAATCCTATTTCTATATCTGTCAAATATCAAAGCTGTTTCTACCCTGGGGCAAGACTATTATAATAAACTTGACTAATAAAATCTTACTTTATAACATGTTTAAAATAAAACAGAATTAATCTGAACAGTAAAAGAAGTTAAAATTGGCTTGCAGTTTTGTACTTTTCTTTGCCAAGTGCTTGATGCTATTAATTTTATTTTGCCTAGATAATATCTAGGTCCCTTCTAGCTCCAAGTTACTATGAATTTATCTGTGAACTTTCTGATGCTTTCATTATTTCCTCTAAGTACCATTTAAGGGGACATCATTCCACTTTTAAAAAGGATGTAACCAAGGCCAAAGCCCAGAGGAGCCCTAGGCCATTGAGCCACAGTCTTTAAGGGACAGAAAGGCCATTAAAATCTCAGGGCAGTTCAAAGTGAGGATTTTGGAATGAGACAACCTGGAACCCCAGCTCTACTAATTAGATGAGCTGTATAGTCCAAGGCAAGTTATCTTCCTAAGTCTCAGTTTTCTTATTATATGGAAGAAAAAAAACTATAGATTTTTTAAATGTTTCTATCTCCTAAGATGGTTACCACAGTGCTTTAAACATACTAAGCATAAAAATGTTGGTTAAATTCAATAGGATATGGAAGAAAAAAAAACAACTCACCCAAGTTAATGCAAGTTTTATACCTATATAATACATAATATATTGCATGACCCAAAATACTTGGCATTGAGGGTACTTGTCTTGCACAAAGAAGGCCATCTTACTGTAAAGAGGAGGACAGAACATTGAGGAGGAAAAAACAAAAAGATAAGACACTTCAGCAACTTGGAATTACAAAGAAGCTCTCCATTAATATTTAATCACTCTTAAGTTTTAAAATTTTCTGTGTGATTTTTAAGTGGGAATAGTTACACCTACCTCATAAAGTCTTACAAAGATAATATGAGATAATATAGAAAGCTTGGCACATATTAAGTGTTCCTTAAATGATAGGTAGGTAATAAGTAATTATTGTTACCTTGTATGCTTCTTCCTCATTTTACAAATGGTGAGGAAACAGGCCCCAGACAGGGGAAGTCACTTATACAATCATTCAGCTAATCAGCAGCAGAATGAGGCCAGAATCTAGAACTCTTTACTAGACTATAGAGCTTTTCTGTACTCAGAAGGGTACAAGGCTATAAGAAAACCTCAGTAAATATTGTGGACTCACTCACTAGCAGCACAGTTCCCTTCTTTGCAGTTTCTGAGCTTCTGCTGGGATAGAGGGGCTAAGTACTTTCCTATTCACATCCTTTGTTTAGGCCATGTGCTCTATGTGAAATGTTCATTTTCCTATACTCCCAATCTCCATGTGTGGAAATTTAGCCATACTTTCATTCATTTAAAAAACAGCTACCAAGCTTCTATGTGTTGGGGAGTATGCCAGACCCTAGAGATATAAAACTGAAAGGAAATTGTTCTGTCCCTTAAGGAGAATATAGGCTATTGGAAAGACAAAGATTTAAAAGGTGTATACAACTGGATTACTTAAATTTGTAGAGAGGAACATAGAGGAAGGAACTTCTAAGTCTTTCAAGGCCCACGGTGATGGTTCCCTTAAAATCTGCACTGATGTCCATCCACTCCTGCCCCTTTCCAAATAAAAGTTAATCTTCTTTTCTGATTTTCCACCCCTTGCCAATACCTTTACTAACTCATCACATTATTGGACTCCCTGTCAATTCCTTACTAGATTGTAAATTACATGAGGGCAGCAACTATACATTTTTTTTTTTATGTTTCTATCTCCTAAGATGGTTACTACAGTGCTTTAAACATACTAAGCATAAAAATGTTGGTTAAATTCAATAGGATATGGAAGAAAAAAACATAACTCACCCACTTTAATGCAATATATTTTTACACCTAATATACATAATATATTGCATGACCCAAAATACTTGGCATAGAGAGTACTTGTCTTGCACAAAGAAAGCCATCTTACAGTAAAGAAGAGGACAGAACATTGAAGAGGAGAAAACAAAAAGATAAGACACTTAAGCAACTTAGAATTACAAAGAAGCTCTCCATTAATATTTAATCACTCTAAGGTTAAAAAGTTTCTGTGTGATTAATAGTAAGGGCTTTGGTGTCAGATAGACCTGTTTGAATTCCCATTCTAATGCTCATTAGTTATTTGACGTCAGCCAAATTGGTTAACCAACCTAAGTCTCAAAGTTTATTTCATCTGTAAAAAGGACAACAATAACTGCATGCTTGATAGGGATCTGAGGATCATATGGGCCTGCAGCCCATTTATGTGAAGCCTCCAGCATAATGGCGGGCATAATAAACAGGAACAGTTCCTCTTCATTGAGATAGTGAGACAGGATTTGTCCCATCCAGACAGTGCAACACTAAGATGGGAAAACAAGCAAAAAGATAAAGGTGGATCGGATCACAACACAATCAAGAAAATTTCGAGGAAAATTGCCTAGAAAGGCCATTACATCTTTCTGAGGAATGAATGTCTTCTAAATGGTTGTCTGCATCCCAGTCCTTCAAAACTCACCGTCACCCCATATTTGAGTGCTAGTCCAGCCAGGGTGTCTCCTGGCGCCAAATGATGTTCCAGGCGTCTTTCTCTCACTGGGGAGCAGGCTGACTGCACCAAGCTTCCGTAAGAACGAGCCCGGCTCCCCTGAAGCAGTCCTGATTCCCCGAGGGGGAACTGTCTAGAGGGAGAAGCCATCTCCTCACTGTGCGGACCGCTGGGGTTGCAATTGAGGAAGGCCCGGCTAAATGACTGAGCCTGGGATCTGGGAATGGGTATCTAGGGGATTCTTTTCCCTTTCTCAGGTCTCTTCCAGCAATACGCGCCCCCTTCAGCCCTTGCTTCCCCTTCCTCCAAGCTCCTTTCCCACAAATCTGTACACCGAGTATTCAGTCCCTACCTGAGTCTATCCATAGTACCCCTCCGGGTTCCGACCCCCACATTGGCCTCTGACCTCTGAATTCTAGCCTCCCTCCTCAATGCTCTCAGTTTTCCCCCAGGTCGGGCAGCGAGACCTCGGCCCCTACAGCCCTGCCCCGCTCCGTCCCGGGGTTGGTCGCTAGCTGTCAAAAGCAGACTAGGCCGATGCCGGTGGGCTGTCGTTGCAGAGCGCGTGGTGACTGCGAGAGTTTGTCGTACACTTTCCACTCAGAGATCCTCAAACACCGCACCGCATCAGATCAGTCACACCCTCAAATTTTAGTATCTTGCCCCTCGAAACGCCTCGAACCTGCCGAGATGCAAGGGCCTGGATCCACCCGGGAGGCAAACTCTTCGAAAAAAAGACTTCATTTCCCAAAAGGCTCCGCGTTGGTGGGATGGCGGGACACCTAGGATATGCAGTCCCCTGGACGAGCTGGAGGCGGGCCTTCCGAGGGCGCGGTGCACGCACGGAAGCGCTTCCCGGGTCGTAAAGAGAGAAACCAGAAGGAAAGGAGGCATCCAATCTTGCTACGGTGGCCTGAAGGGAGTGGTGTCTGCGGCGCGATAAAATTGATCATTTCTGGGACTACGTCATCATGTCTTTCAAGAGGGAAGGGGACGACTGGAGTCAACTCAATGTGCTTAAAGTAAGCGCGGGAGCAGAGCGTCTGGAGCAGCTTCAGCTGCCCTCTGAAGGCTGCGAAGGAGCTGAGTTTTTGCTCCGGCAACAGCTGGGGCGGGAGGGAGCCAGGTGACTGGAGTTGGGTAGCGACCCCTTCTTCGCGCTGTGATCTCTGCCCTTCCCATGGTCTTTATTCTGTTTGAATCCTCTTTCCTGCAGTTTCCCTCCCATGCCTCGCCCGATCCCACTGATTCCATCCGGTTATCTTCCCCAACCCAATGCAGAAACGAAGGGTGGGGGACCTGCTGGCCAATTACATCCCAGAGGAAGAAGTGCTGATGCTGCGGGACGGACGGTGAGGGCAAGGAGTGGCTCGAGCCCCAGGGTGCCTTCGGTTAGAGGCTCAGGAAACTTCACTTATTAAAAACGTGAAAGGAAGATTCTCGGATTCTTTGAAGGGGAGTGAGGGACAGGGATGTGGATGGTGGAGATTGGGAGAACTGGGAGTTGGGCTTTGGAAAGGACTACTAGGACAAGGTGGGATCTACACGCTCTGGGGACCAACTGTCCTCTTTCCTCCCCTCCAGCTTTGCTTGTGCCGTCTGTCCCCACCGACCCGTACTGGATACCGTGGCCATGCTGACTGCCCACCGTGCAGGCAAGAAACATCTATCCAGTAAGTCTGAGGGAAGACGGGGGATAGAAACCACTCTTGGTGCTGTTTTTAATTCTCTTCCTCTTCTCTTCAGGTCTGCAGCTTTTCTATGGCAAGAAGCAGCCAGGAGAGGGAATGGAGCAGAATCCAAGACAACAGAATGAATTGAGGGAAGAGACCAAAACTGAGGTGATCAGAGAGGGGAAGGTGTGTTCAGGCAGGACCCTGCCGCACACTCTAGGACTGAAGGGCTTTGGCTTCTTTCTAGCTCGGAAGCCTCTCACTCCGTCTCCCATCTCCGCATCAGGCTCCACTGTTAGTCCGGACCCGACTCACCACCCAGAGTGCTCTGCACAGAGCCCCTGACTATGACAGTTGCTGCCGCCGCCGGAAGTGCAAGTCTGTGGGGCCCGAAAGCCACAGGTAGGAAGGGACAGGAGATAAATGACTCCAAAAGGATTGTTTTCCAAATCATATTGAGAAATACTAGTGTTTCCAGGAAAAAGGGAATTTTGTAATTTAGAAAGAATGTTTGGGAAATGGTGCTTTGTGGTCCTACCCAAAGAATATTAGTGTATTTTAAGGACTCTACAGTCTTAAGACTTAAAAAATTTCAAACATTTTACCCTAGCCTTTCCTAAATTTGTTTGATTCCAGTGTCTTTTTTTATGAAGAACACTTACTAATATCGTGAGGAACCCAGCTGAAGAAGCACTGCTGTTAAGAGGTTGGGAGTCACAGGAGAGTTGGCCTTTTCATCTACCACTTTTACAGACTTTTGCTTCTTCTCTACCCAGACAAGAAGCCCCTCGTCCCTCCGTCTCCTGTTCCCCTTTGCCACCCCCAGTGGTTGAACTCCAAAGTGGGCAGGTCAGCAGGGAACCTGGGCCTGGAGCTGGTCCACAGGCCAAGGAGTCAGCAACTGTCTCACCCTCTGCTCCTATGAGCCCGACAAGAAGGCAAGCCCTGGACCATTACCTCACCCTTCGAACGTGAGTATGCAGAATTACTTTACTCAATTTTCTTTTCTTTCTGACCCTCGTTTTTTTAAATCTTGTTTTTTCTTATCCTCACTTGTTTTTTTATTAAGGTATCATTGATATACACTCTTATGAAGGTTTTACATAAGCAACACTGTGGTTACTACATTCACCTATATTATTGAGTACCCCCCATACCCCATTGCAATCACTGCCTGTCAGTGTAGTAAGATGCCACAATGTCACTACTTGTCTTCTCCATGCTACATTGTCTTCCCTGTGACCCCACACACCATGTGCACCAATCATGATACCCCACAATCCCCTTCTCCCTCCCTCTCCCACCCCACCCTTTGGTAACTGCTAGTCCCTTCTTGGAGTCTGTTATCCTCACTGAATTCTTAAACCTCCTTCCCTGACCGATCCTATTTTTCTATGATATTTCCAGCTCTGGATGGATCCCAGATGGACAAGGTCGATGGGTAAAAGATCAGAATGTTGAATTTGACTCAGATGAAGAGGAACCCCCGGGTCTCCCCTTGGACTGACATCCTCTTTCCCCATTCAGTTCACAAATAAACTACAGTGGGTGCTGGGAGCCTAATTTTCCTAGAGTCTGGTTTCTTTTCCCATTTCAGGATTTCAAATCTGTTCATTCTTAGCCTGGCCAATCCTTCCTTGCATTGTACACAGCTCCCCATACTTCTAACCCCTCCCCCACCTTCTACCAAAGTCATGCCAAGCGTCAGCTGCATGCAGCCCAGTGCCCTATTAATAAGTCTGTCAGAAGGAGGTCTTTGCCCTTCATGTTGTCTGCCTTCTTCCCCACCTCCACTCAGAGCGCTTTCCTCCTTTAGTTCACATGAGACATGCATAGGCACTGAGGGGCCTGGCCACATCTGGAAACAGGGCCAGGGCTAGATACCCTGTGAGAGTAGAGAAACTAAAGGCGTCGGCAGGGTTATGGGGAACACCAAGGAAAGGAGCTCTCCCGCCTCTTCCTAGTAACTTGAACCTCCCTGCCTGCTGATCCCCAGGGTATAAATAATCCCCTGATGAACTGGCAGTAACCCTTGGGGGTTAGCGCCAAGATTTCCACCCAAAGCCCAAGGCGGGAGGCAGGCAGAGTGGACAGAAGGGCCTTTATTTACAGGAAAGGAGGGATAGATGAGGATTTAAGTATTCAGGGCTCCCAGCTCTAGTTGGTAAAGGAAAAGGCAGTGTTATCTCTTTTTTTGCTGGCGACCTGTAAAGGAAGAATAAACAAAAGTCTTCATTCCATCTCTTGCTTCTTGCAAAGGTGCTCTTCTTTTCAGTTCCTTGGTCAGACTCATAAAGAGGTGACATCTTAGGCCACCAAACATACCCACCCAACATTAACAGACCAAAGTTAAGAGACGACAAGACAAACAAAAATACCATGTATGCCTACAAACAGGTATGTCTAGCTTCCTTTTCACTTCTCTACTGATAGGTACTTAGGGCAGGAGAATTTTTCTGTTTACTTTCTGATCACTTATGGGTCTTGAACTTTTCATGTGAGTATCGCTTTGGCAGCACCTCAGGCTTTTAGGAAGCCTATTTGCCCTCTCCCACACACACCATGTCTCAGTTACTCACGTAGTTCATTGTTCTTGGTCATGGCCTGGGCTGCCCGAGCTCGTGGCCCCTGCTGTGTAAAGTGGTAGCCAAAGCGGACGATGGAGGGACATTGTTCAAGCACGGTGGCCATCTCCATCTCCACTGCATCGCCAGGCCACTGGCGCTGAGGGAGGGACATAAGAAAACTCAGCCACCCTCTGTTCACTGTGCCAGAGCACTGACCCTTAGGGAGGTCAAGAGGCATGTTTCTCCAGAGTGGGTGATGAGAGAGGTTTGACTTGGTTCCCCTCAGAGACAAAACGAAGAGACTTCAAACAAGATGAGAGGACATCCTCACCCAGTGGTACTTCATAGAGGAGACTCAGAGTACTAGCTGAATGCAAAGACTCAGGGGAAGGAATGCTGACCTGGTTGTCTACACGGAGCTCAGTGAGTGTGCCATTTTCCCGAACTGCCTTCAGAACAGCCATGAGCCCTGTGCTGCTAATGAAGTTGGATTCAATGTTCAGGCTCTGGAGGCTACGATTCTCACGCAACATGTCAGCCACCGCCTGGGTAGTAGGGACTTGGGTTAGGATTAGGGGACAGTTTCACAGATGACTGAGGAGAGAAAGAACAGGAGCAAGAGGGAAACACAGCTCTCTGAGAAGAGTCCTTGAGCTGCAGGTGGGGCTAGAGGGAGATGGAAGAGAGGGTAGGTAGAGGGGAAGCAGGGAGATTAATTGTGCAATGGAATTGGTGGCCATGGTGGACAGGGTTGTGACTCTTTGGGAAGATGACCTGAGGATATCAGTGCTTAGAGCCATAGTACTGAGGGTAGGAGTCTCCATCATGGCTACCCTAAGAGCACGATGGGAATAGTGCCCCCATTATGTCAGCCCTGCCAAAGGAACACATCAAGATTGGGGAGACAGCCAGGGATGTCAGCTGGTCTTACATTGGCAATGGGGTCACCACTCCTTGTGGCCACCAGGCTGAAGCTCCGGACATAGGTGTTTGTCTTCATTGCCTCACACAGCTTGGTTAGCATGGGTATCGGGATGTCCTGTCAGAGGGGAATCGGAGATGGTGGGCTGAGGGACCCACCTTTCAACAGTTATTGTTTGGAAGATGGGGGTCATATACCTGTATATTATTGAGGTTCACCTCCTCCAGCTCCTTGTCATTGCTTCGAACACTCTTTAGTATCTCCTCAATGTTTGTGGGATTTGGAGGCTCATCTGGCACTGGCTTATACTTATCAGGCTGTACCACACCTGATGGATGAGGGCAGGAAGGAAACCCCAACACGTCCCCCACTATCTCCTCCCCATAGGTTCTCTTATCACTTATGCACCATGGCCTCTTCCTGATTCACCTGTCTCACCCTTTGCTACCTTTCCTCAGACCTTGGGCATGCCTGCCAAGAGCCTTGGGGGCCCTGCTCCCAGACACACTCACTGCTAATGCCTTCGGTGTTGCAGATTTCCCCGCTGCAGATGGCGTCGTAGTATTGCTTGTTGCTCATCAGTGTATACATGCCCAGAATTGCTGGAGAGAGTAAGCAGGTGGGAAGACAGAGAATGAGAAGAAGGGACTTGTTCTAGCCTCCCCATGCCTCGTTCTAAATCTCTTGAGTGTTTAAAGCCTGAATTCTCCCACTTTAGCAAAGAGGTTCCCACGTACCCTTGGCCCCAGGGGTCCCCCATGTAAAGTGTTTTAAGGCAGTTTTTAAAACACTGAGACAGGACTACAGGGGAAGGTCCCTAAGGAGCCACTAGAAGGTGAGGAACTCTGTCAGACTGCCTTCTGTTTTCAGCCAGAATAGTTCTACTTTTATTTATAATCCCTGTAGTCCTTGAGAGATTAATTTATTAAACAATGAATACATAAGTAAGAAAAATTAAAAATCACTACCTAAGGCTTTCTCAAACATCCATGTCCTGGCTTATGGCCTTCCCCACTAGGCCCATACCATGGCTGGACCCCCGTGTCCTTAATCTTCCTGCCCTCCTCAACTTCCCACAGCTGCTCACCTGCAATATCACACATCTCAGCGTCTGTGGCATGGGCCAGTGCCTCTTCCAGCTCAGGCTCCAGAGTGATCTGCTCCTGTGCTGGGATTTCCTTCTTAGGTTGAACATAGGGTTTCCCTGGTGGGAAGATGGATGGCTCAGGCAGAGGTCATTTCTCCTGTGATCCTGGCCTCCAGCTTCCTTCCCTTCTTCAGGAGGAGGAATGCTGCTGGATTACTAGGGGCCACTGTGAAGCCCAAGTCCTCTGTAAGCTCAGGACTCTTGGGTCCCCCAGTCTCTTGCAAGAGCTAAAGAGTACAAGCTGGCATGCAGGTTTTAGGGCAGCAGAGTCCCTGGGTAGGTAGGAGCTGGAAGGTAAGAGGGAAGCTGGTGGGGGACATGTGAGAGACAACCACTTGGGTTCCAGGAGGTATGGATGTTAGGGTTTCCATACCCTTCTTCTCGCCGGTGAAGGGCACCAAGTCGTCACGTTCTTTGACCTCTAGTGCCTGCTGCTCCAGGTACTGCAAAAGGGCCTCTCGGTCCAGTGGCCCTGTGGGGCTCTTCTTTGTCTGGTCACGTTGTCTTAGTCCAGCTGGCAGGAGCAGGTTCTTAAGGGTGAGTTTTGGAGATCAAGTCAGACCTCCCCTCTGATCTGGGGCACCTGCAGGGCTCCCTAAAACATCTCCAGATAAGCTTTTCCCTGGCCTTCTTGGGACTCCAGTCCCTGTAGGCAGCCCTGGTCTTAGACACCCAGGACCCTGCAACCCTTCCCAATGCCTGCAGAATGCCCCTGGTTCCATGTGCTAGAGCTCCTACCTCAGGGTCCATCTCCTGTAGCTCGCAGTCCAGCTGCTCTAGCTCCTCAGGGCTCAAGGTTCTTAGAATCTCATCTTCATCTATGTCTCTGTATTTCTCCAGTTCCTTCTGATACGATGACATGATGTCCCCCACCCCTTCCCCACTGTGTGGCACTCAGGGAGCCTGAGGGTTATGAGGAAGGTGGTTGGACAATGGAAAGATGTACAGGGACACAGTAGGGACATAGAGACCAGCCAAGGGGCAGACCATGAACTGGATGTCTTGAAGGTTAGAAATCTAGTTGGACATGGGAAGATGGGGGAAGGTTAGGCTGTTAGAACAAGAGACTTCTTCCTGCTTTCCCAGCTTCAGCCACTCTGGATGGGGATCCCAGGCATCCAAGATGGATTTGTCTTCCCATTGTATGACAGAGGATCCTGACAGCACCCCTCCCCTATAACCTCTCCCATTGGTGCCTCCTGCCCTAGCACAGCTGCCGGAGGCCCTGCCAATACAGCTAGCTGCATGCCCAGTTCCTACTGAAAAGGGGAGTAGGCAGAGAACTTCAGGGAAATTCCTCTTCTCTTCCCCATAATTCAATCCTTTTCTTAAATTGGTTTAAGAAAGCAAGGATCATGGGGGAAAAAGAGACTGTTCTTTTACTCTACCCTCATTTCCTCTTTTATTGTAGGGGATCAACATTTCACTTTCTATGTTTGCTAAAACTCTAAATCCTAAGGGAAAGCAAGGGCTCGGAGTAGTTGGGGAACTTCCAGGTTGGGGTAAGGGTCATATGGCCTCAGAAGGGAATGAGTCCCCATAATTTGTCCCTGGCTTTGGACAGGAAGGTGACACCAGGCCAATGGGTGGGAAATGTCTTCTAAATGGGATAAAGTTTCTCTAAAAACAGGGGGAGAATTAAATATGCACAATCTTTTACAATATGAAAAATACATACAAGCTACACATACACACCATGCTGAACCTGAAAGATCCAGAGTGTGTGAGATACTTACACTGGCAATATAAACTACACAGTTAAGGGATAGGACAGACAGTGGCAGAAACAGACACTGGGTGACAGAAACAGAGACACACTCCATTCCATATCATTCCCAATAGGAGACACTCTTCTCCTCCCATCTCCCACCAGGCTGATGCATAAGCCCCCTGCCTTCCCCACCTACCAGTCCTGGAGGCCACCTCCCTTCTCACCTCCCCTTCTGTGGGTCAGTCTGTCTGTTCTACTGGAGCACTGTCTCAGCAGCAGGAGGAGCCCGGGGCCAGGGAGAGGGTGGGGGAACAGTGAGCTCAGCATTTTATTATTTTAGCTCTGGCCAGGTGGGGGGTAGTGGGAGATCACATATACAGCCCCCATAACCTGCCCAGCCCTGAGAGCCTCTAGCGGCCACAAATAGCTATGGCACCTCCACCCCTTCCTATAAGCCTGAGGTCCTAGAAACTGGATCCCATAGTTCCTAATTATTTGGTGCCTGCTATACTCAAAGTAAGGAATGTAAGGTAATAAAAAGGTAAGTATAAGGAATTTGTCTTAATGTCTACTTTAAAGGTGTTTATAATCTAGTTGGAGAAATGTTTACAATTTAAAAAGGGCAGCTCATAATAATGGTATTAAGCAAATATGAAGATCTATATATACTCATTTACAAGTATTTCTGCTCCCAACTCTGTATTAGACACCAGACAAAAGGGATCTTTCTATTTTATTAGATTAAAAAACACATACAAAACCAATAGGAATAGGAGAAAGAAAAATAGAACAGGGCTGGGCAAAGATCAGAGATTATAAAGGGGAGAAGCAGGGAAAAGAGGGGAAACATTAAGAGTCCCAAGTCAGGCTAAAAAGGAGGTTTCTAAGGACTACACATCTCTTCATTTGATGACAATTTTCTGGCGCAAAGCTCGGGGCCCAGAACCAGGGAGGGGCTCAGGTGGTGGTGGACCAGGGCCCAGGGCTGAGGCCGTGGGCGGCAGTCCATGGGCAGTGATGTACTTCTTGTAGGCCTCACGGATGATCTTGAAGGCTCGAGCAGTGGCATAAGGTATGTCTGTGACGGGGTCCCGGTATAGGGCAGGGCGATGGGTCACTGGGCAGACCTCCCGAACAGGGATCTTTGGGGGCCGCCCTTGGGGAAACCATTCCTCAAATGTCGCATCATCACTAAAAGTGATGAAGGTACGTGAGCAGCAAGCAGGAGGGATGACAGGTCCAGTCCCAGCACGGGGAGTCAATTCAGAAACCATGGGAGCCGAATCAAGTCTGAGGGTAGAGACAGAAAACACAAAGAGCTGAAGAGAGAAAACAACAGATAAAGAAAGAGAAGAGAGGTGAGGAAGGGGGCAAAGTGATGGCGACATTCTGACGGAGTCTATGAAGTGACAGGAAAAGAAAGGTGGACTGGATGGAAGAACAGAAAAGAGAGGTAGAAGAGAGGCTAAAAGAGAAAGGAGGAGGAGCTGAAGGGAAAAGGGATCTGAAAAACATCCAGGTATTGTGTGAGGAAAGCAAATGAAATGTGGCTGAGAGAACACAAGCTGTTCATGGAAGGGACCTCTTTTCTCTTCTTCCCTTGAGATTCACTCACCCTTCTACATCGACATTCTCTTCTTTAGGGCCTGGCTCCCCAACAAGCGGCACCGTCACCGAATGGTAGGTGATTGTGGGCCCAGGGCACTTGCGCTTCTTATGAACCTGCTTCTTTTTATCAGCCTCAAGCCGCTCATATGTCTCTTTAGGGACCAAGGAAGAAATGAGGAGATGTTTGAGTTCCCCCTTTTCCATATGCCAGTTCTGTCCTACAGTCTCTCAATTATCTTCCTGGTTGTCTAGTCACTGTCTACCCAAGCCAATTATGAGTCCTTTAAGGCCCTCTAGCACCTCCCATTTCATAAATTTTCTGCTTGCCCTTCTTGAAATCCTCTGCTCATCATTTCTCAAGTCCACTGGTTCCTCCCCAATTCAGAACTGTAGGGCATCAAGAGTTGGAACTGACCCTTTGATGAGGAACCCGCTTATTTCTCCAGATACTCCTCTACAATTGCCCTGTCAACTTGCTCCCATCCAAGGCAGCACATTACATATTTAGGCATCTATAGTCATTACAGAGTTCTTTCCTATTTTGAGATGAAATACTCTTCCTGATGACACTGTTTTACCTTTTCAGGGCATAAAGGACACAGGTCAACTCTTGTCTTCTACGTGAGTCTTTTACATAGTTGAAATTAGCAGCCATGTCTCTTCAGACTGATAACAACATCCACTCCAACAAACCATTCCTCATATAACATGGATTGGAGTCACTCGCTCCTTTTGCTACCTGGTGCCTAGGACACTCTTCTATTACTATATTTATCATGGTATGGCAGAGGTTGCAAGCTGGCAGCCCACTTAAGTGTTTTGTTTGATGTGGATTGTATTTTAAGGATGAACTTGAATTAGTTGCTGACATTGACAAATGAGGAAATTACACTTAAATAGAAAGATTTCTGGTTCCTCTTCAAAAAATAAGAAAATCTGGCAACCCTGGGTATGTATTCTCACATGGCAACAATTAGCTGAACTAAGTAATCATTCCTCCTTTCAGGCGCTTCAAATCCAGCACAATCCCCCCACTGGACCCTATGATGCTGCTCTATGGCAGGTCATTGTTGGTGTATATGTCTCCAAGGGCAGTGGCTCTGACTCACATCACTTACATATCAGCAGGGTCATGTAGCATTCTGTACATTATAGGCACTCAATAAATATTTGTTCATGTATAAACAGATCAAAGTATTCCTGGTCCCCTTCCTGTGAATGAATTCCAAATTTCTGTATCCTTCTTAAACACTGGTACTGTGAATACAATCCTATAGACCACAAAACCATGTTCTGGAATCCTCTCCAGTGAGGATTAACCTTTTTTGTACTTGAATTCTGGTTGCTAATATTGCTTTTTTGCCCTTGAGCAATATTCCAACTCTTCTTTCAAACACTTCCCTGTACCTCTGGGACTCCTGCTTTATAATCAGCCAACTCACCTACATCCTCTTGCTCCTCATTCAGCATTCCTTCCACAACTTTCCTTACTGAAACCCAGTCATCCCAAGGCCACAACTTCCCTGAAGCCCTGTGGTGGAGGCTGCTCACTTTCTTACATCCCATGCAGCATCTGCTTATGTCCTATTGAGCCCCACACTGCAGCTTCCAGATCACTACTCCTCTACCCACTGCAAACTCGCTTCTCTTGTGAGACCTAGGCCAACAGTCAGGATTATCCTCTCCCCTTCCTAGTCATGGGCACTCCTTCACATCACTGAAGCCTTTAGCAATGGTTTCCACCCCATCTCCTATCATCTTAGGTCATTCTGGTGTCTTCAAAGTGCACTGGGGTAACCTCTTCAACACCCATCCCCAGTTTCTTTATCACCTCATGTCTTAACCTTCCTGTCGTGATACTTTAGTTACTCCATTTGGCTCTAGCTATGACCTAGACTTTGTCACTGCCTAAAACTGCCCAGCTCTGAAATACCAAAAATTGTATATCCCAGGCTCTGACCACAATACCACATCTGTCAGGTCTGTCTGTTCCACTACTGTAGATATCTCTGTTCCTCTACTTCTTAGTAGATAGCTCCTCATTCCCTCATCTAGCAGCCCCTTCCAGCATTTGTTATCCTTTCTGAATCACACGTAAGTTCCTCAGTCCCTCATTTCAATCATTCTCTTGTCATAAACTCCGTCACCCAGACCTGGATTGCTGAGGGCTACTTAAGTCACCCAACAGGATAGACTGGCACCACTATAAATTCATGTCCCAAACTTCAATAGACACTCCCAACACCAGCAGATAATCCTATCTCAACAACTACACTCTTCACTCTCCTCAAGCTTCCAACTCTTTATCTTCAACACCCGAGGGAGAATAGTGCCTAAGAGACATCAGGTGAGAGCCACTGCAATGTCCTGCTCTGGATTTACAGACTTAACAACTATAAGCCATCCTTTATCCTAACTTAGGCCAATATTACTTGTGCTCTAGTGTTGACCTGTCCCTGCACCCCACTGTAACTTCCCACTTCTTCAAAACCTACTCTATTAACTGTCCTTTCTTTCTTCTCTATCATTAAACTTTCAGTTTCTACTTACCAGATACATTGTCTCCAATCTTTGAATAAAACAAAACAAGGAAAACCTTGACCCAGACCCCTCTATAGCTTCTACTCCCTCTTCTACTGTTTACAGCCAAACTTAAAAAATTTGGCTTCCCAACCCATTTCAAAATGACTTGGTTAGGAGACACTCTTCTCCTCCCATCTCCCACCAGGCTGATGCATAAGCCCCCTGCCTTCCCCACCTACCAGTCCTGGAGGCCACCTCCCTTCTCACCTCCCCTTCTGTGGGTCAGTCTGTCTGTTCTACTGGAGCACTGTCTCAGCAGCAGGAGGAGCCCGGGGCCAGGGAGAGGGTGGGGGAACAGTGAGCTCAGCATTTTATTATTTTAGCTCTGGCCAGGTGGGGGGTAGTGGGAGATCACATATACAGCCCCCATAACCTGCCCAGCCCTGAGAGCCTCTAGCGGCCACAAATAGCTATGGCACCTCCACCCCTTCCTATAAGCCTGAGGTCCTAGAAACTGGATCCCATAGTTCCTAATTATTTGGTGCCTGCTATACTCAAAGTAAGGAATGTAAGGTAATAAAAAGGTAAGTATAAGGAATTTGTCTTAATGTCTACTTTAAAGGTGTTTATAATCTAGTTGGAGAAATGTTTACAATTTAAAAAGGGCAGCTCATAATAATGGTATTAAGCAAATATGAAGATCTATATATACTCATTTACAAGTATTTCTGCTCCCAACTCTGTATTAGACACCAGACAAAAGGGATCTTTCTATTTTATTAGATTAAAAAACACATACAAAACCAATAGGAATAGGAGAAAGAAAAATAGAACAGGGCTGGGCAAAGATCAGAGATTATAAAGGGGAGAAGCAGGGAAAAGAGGGGAAACATTAAGAGTCCCAAGTCAGGCTAAAAAGGAGGTTTCTAAGGACTACACATCTCTTCATTTGATGACAATTTTCTGGCGCAAAGCTCGGGGCCCAGAACCAGGGAGGGGCTCAGGTGGTGGTGGACCAGGGCCCAGGGCTGAGGCCGTGGGCGGCAGTCCATGGGCAGTGATGTACTTCTTGTAGGCCTCACGGATGATCTTGAAGGCTCGAGCAGTGGCATAAGGTATGTCTGTGACGGGGTCCCGGTATAGGGCAGGGCGATGGGTCACTGGGCAGACCTCCCGAACAGGGATCTTTGGGGGCCGCCCTTGGGGAAACCATTCCTCAAATGTCGCATCATCACTAAAAGTGATGAAGGTACGTGAGCAGCAAGCAGGAGGGATGACAGGTCCAGTCCCAGCACGGGGAGTCAATTCAGAAACCATGGGAGCCGAATCAAGTCTGAGGGTAGAGACAGAAAACACAAAGAGCTGAAGAGAGAAAACAACAGATAAAGAAAGAGAAGAGAGGTGAGGAAGGGGGCAAAGTGATGGCGACATTCTGACGGAGTCTATGAAGTGACAGGAAAAGAAAGGTGGACTGGATGGAAGAACAGAAAAGAGAGGTAGAAGAGAGGCTAAAAGAGAAAGGAGGAGGAGCTGAAGGGAAAAGGGATCTGAAAAACATCCAGGTATTGTGTGAGGAAAGCAAATGAAATGTGGCTGAGAGAACACAAGCTGTTCATGGAAGGGACCTCTTTTCTCTTCTTCCCTTGAGATTCACTCACCCTTCTACATCGACATTCTCTTCTTTAGGGCCTGGCTCCCCAACAAGCGGCACCGTCACCGAATGGTAGGTGATTGTGGGCCCAGGGCACTTGCGCTTCTTATGAACCTGCTTCTTTTTATCAGCCTCAAGCCGCTCATATGTCTCTTTAGGGACCAAGGAAGAAATGAGGAGATGTTTGAGTTCCCCCTTTTCCATATGCCAGTTCTGTCCTACAGTCTCTCAATTATCTTCCTGGTTGTCTAGTCACTGTCTACCCAAGCCAATTATGAGTCCTTTAAGGCCCTCTAGCACCTCCCATTTCATAAATTTTCTGCTTGCCCTTCTTGAAATCCTCTGCTCATCATTTCTCAAGTCCACTGGTTCCTCCCCAATTCAGAACTGTAGGGCATCAAGAGTTGGAACTGACCCTTTGATGAGGAACCCGCTTATTTCTCCAGATACTCCTCTACAATTGCCCTGTCAACTTGCTCCCATCCAAGGCAGCACATTACATATTTAGGCATCTATAGTCATTACAGAGTTCTTTCCTATTTTGAGATGAAATACTCTTCCTGATGACACTGTTTTACCTTTTCAGGGCATAAAGGACACAGGTCAACTCTTGTCTTCTACGTGAGTCTTTTACATAGTTGAAATTAGCAGCCATGTCTCTTCAGACTGATAACAACATCCACTCCAACAAACCATTCCTCATATAACATGGATTGGAGTCACTCGCTCCTTTTGCTACCTGGTGCCTAGGACACTCTTCTATTACTATATTTATCATGGTATGGCAGAGGTTGCAAGCTGGCAGCCCACTTAAGTGTTTTGTTTGATGTGGATTGTATTTTAAGGATGAACTTGAATTAGTTGCTGACATTGACAAATGAGGAAATTACACTTAAATAGAAAGATTTCTGGTTCCTCTTCAAAAAATAAGAAAATCTGGCAACCCTGGGTATGTATTCTCACATGGCAACAATTAGCTGAACTAAGTAATCATTCCTCCTTTCAGGCGCTTCAAATCCAGCACAATCCCCCCACTGGACCCTATGATGCTGCTCTATGGCAGGTCATTGTTGGTGTATATGTCTCCAAGGGCAGTGGCTCTGACTCACATCACTTACATATCAGCAGGGTCATGTAGCATTCTGTACATTATAGGCACTCAATAAATATTTGTTCATGTATAAACAGATCAAAGTATTCCTGGTCCCCTTCCTGTGAATGAATTCCAAATTTCTGTATCCTTCTTAAACACTGGTACTGTGAATACAATCCTATAGACCACAAAACCATGTTCTGGAATCCTCTCCAGTGAGGATTAACCTTTTTTGTACTTGAATTCTGGTTGCTAATATTGCTTTTTTGCCCTTGAGCAATATTCCAACTCTTCTTTCAAACACTTCCCTGTACCTCTGGGACTCCTGCTTTATAATCAGCCAACTCACCTACATCCTCTTGCTCCTCATTCAGCATTCCTTCCACAACTTTCCTTACTGAAACCCAGTCATCCCAAGGCCACAACTTCCCTGAAGCCCTGTGGTGGAGGCTGCTCACTTTCTTACATCCCATGCAGCATCTGCTTATGTCCTATTGAGCCCCACACTGCAGCTTCCAGATCACTACTCCTCTACCCACTGCAAACTCGCTTCTCTTGTGAGACCTAGGCCAACAGTCAGGATTATCCTCTCCCCTTCCTAGTCATGGGCACTCCTTCACATCACTGAAGCCTTTAGCAATGGTTTCCACCCCATCTCCTATCATCTTAGGTCATTCTGGTGTCTTCAAAGTGCACTGGGGTAACCTCTTCAACACCCATCCCCAGTTTCTTTATCACCTCATGTCTTAACCTTCCTGTCGTGATACTTTAGTTACTCCATTTGGCTCTAGCTATGACCTAGACTTTGTCACTGCCTAAAACTGCCCAGCTCTGAAATACCAAAAATTGTATATCCCAGGCTCTGACCACAATACCACATCTGTCAGGTCTGTCTGTTCCACTACTGTAGATATCTCTGTTCCTCTACTTCTTAGTAGATAGCTCCTCATTCCCTCATCTAGCAGCCCCTTCCAGCATTTGTTATCCTTTCTGAATCACACGTAAGTTCCTCAGTCCCTCATTTCAATCATTCTCTTGTCATAAACTCCGTCACCCAGACCTGGATTGCTGAGGGCTACTTAAGTCACCCAACAGGATAGACTGGCACCACTATAAATTCATGTCCCAAACTTCAATAGACACTCCCAACACCAGCAGATAATCCTATCTCAACAACTACACTCTTCACTCTCCTCAAGCTTCCAACTCTTTATCTTCAACACCCGAGGGAGAATAGTGCCTAAGAGACATCAGGTGAGAGCCACTGCAATGTCCTGCTCTGGATTTACAGACTTAACAACTATAAGCCATCCTTTATCCTAACTTAGGCCAATATTACTTGTGCTCTAGTGTTGACCTGTCCCTGCACCCCACTGTAACTTCCCACTTCTTCAAAACCTACTCTATTAACTGTCCTTTCTTTCTTCTCTATCATTAAACTTTCAGTTTCTACTTACCAGATACATTGTCTCCAATCTTTGAATAAAACAAAACAAGGAAAACCTTGACCCAGACCCCTCTATAGCTTCTACTCCCTCTTCTACTGTTTACAGCCAAACTTAAAAAATTTGGCTTCCCAACCCATTTCAAAATGACTTGGTTTTCAAGAAGTGCTCCTTCAGTTCATCTCTGACCTCTAAGTCACCAAAGAAATGAACATTTCTCAGTTCTCCTCTTTACTGGCGTCTCAGCAGCATTCAGCAGTTGCTCTCACTTGAAACATTCTCTTTCCTTGGCACTTTGAAGACAGATTCTCCTGGAGTTCTCCAACTCTGGCCATTCCTCAGATTTTTTTCTAAGCTACTCTTGCATGAAGCCATTACATTTTAGCATCCATAGGGTTGTCTTGGGCCTGTCTTTTCTCATTCTATGCTTTCTCCTGGGTGATCTGAGGCACTCCAATATCAATTACTACCCATTTATATTTCCAGCCCAGATCTCTTATCCAAGCACCAGATTTGTATATTTTACTGCCCTCTCAGCACCATATGAATTGCTCACAGACCCCTCAAATTCAACATGTTCAAAGATAACCTTATCCCCTCCCCAACCCCACTGAACCTGCTCCTCCAAGGTTTCCTGTCAGTTACTGAAGAAACCTGGGAGGCACCCTCCTTACAGTGGTGTGGTCAGAGGACAGACTGAAACAGTCACATCAAGGTGACTTTATTGTGATGGGGCTGTCACTTACGTTTTGAGGGACAGCTACTGTTTTAAAGTTCTGAAGTGCCATTATATAGGTAAAGATTACATATCAGATTTTAAAGCCAATATAATGAAAAAATCATGAGAAAGATCCTGAAGATGTTGGAACTGAACTAAATCTTTTCTTAATCAGTGTGTTCTTTTGGAGTTA